AACACATAACCACTCCCCTAAACACAGCCACGCCCCTAAACACATATGGCCAATCACTAGCACCATCCCCACACTCATACATGTGCCCTTGTCTGTTTAGCTATGCTGACTCCCCAGGGCCTTATTACTTAAAAGGACCACCGAGCCTACCTACCTTGCTCTAGAAGGGATGGAGTGGATCCTCAGTCCTTGGTGTCTAGCGATTGCTGATAGGCTGAGATCTGCTGTTCCTGCACAGGTCTCTTGTGGGCCCAGTAGTGATACCAATGTTGGGATGATGTCATACTGCATCCACTATACATACACACTAAATCCACTTTACACACACTGCATCCACTATATACACACACTGCACCCACTATACACACACTGCATCCACTATACACACACACACTGCACCCACTATACACACACACTGCACACACTATACACACACACACTGCACCCACTATACACACACACACTGCACCCACTATATACACACACACTGCGCCCACTATACACACACACACACACACACATACACTGCACCAACTATATACACACACTGCATCCACTATACACACACATTGCATCCACTATACACACACACTGCACCTATTATACATACACTGCATAGAAACATAGAAACATAGAATGTGACGGCAGATAAGAACCATTCGGCCCATCTAGTTTGCATCCACTATATACACACACTGCATCCACTATACACACACATTGCACCCACTATACACACACACACACACTGCATCCACTATACACACACTAAACCAACTATACGCACAAACTGCATCCACTATACATACACACTAAATCCACTTTACACACACTGCCTCCACTATATACACACACTGCACCCACTATACACACACTGCATCCATTATACACACACACATTGCACCCACTATACACACACTGCATCCACTATACACACACTGCATCCACTATATACACACTCTGCATCCACTATACACACACACATTGCACCCACTATACACATACTGCATTCACTATACACAAACACTAAATCCAATTTACACACACTGCACACACACTATACACACACTATACATACACACTAAATCCACTTTGCACACACTGCACCTACTATACACACACACACACACACACACACACACTGCATCCACCATACACACACTAAATCTACTTTATACACACAGTACATTCTCTAAACACACACATTACATCACTTAAAGACACAGATCCCATTCCACAGCTCTAAGTGTCTGCAAGACGGTGGTGGAATGGAGAGCGGGCCCTAGGGGCATATTAGGGGGCAGCCCCGGTCACCCAGGCCTTGTGCTGTGTAAGTGGCCTCAATATTTCTGATTTTGTGCAGCCATCACTAGATCATGATGTCGCAATAACTGTGGTTTAAAATATGAGAGATGAATATGAGGAGACAGAGGGGGGAGTGAGGAGAGAGCCTGAACCAGCATCAGACTCCCATCAATCTCAGTCAGCACCTGCTGCAGACAGTGGACCCTAGGGAAGCTGTCCTCCTGCACCCAAAAGGTATGAAAACAGTATGGTGGGTGGCTAAAAACATGTACATTGTGTTTACTATATATGAGCGTATATTTGCTTCAGTGTGCTTCTTGTGTGTGTGTCAGTGTGCATCGTGTGTGTCAGTGTGCATCTTGGGTGTGTCAGTGTGCATCGAGTGTTTCAGTGTGTATGTTTGTATGTGCATATATCCAAGCATTCAAACGCCAACACTACACACAAATATACAACTGCATTCACACAAATACTCCAAACAAAACCATGTTTACATTCAAACACACAAACTCCGCTCACAAATACAACTATGTAGCTGTAAATGGAAAATTGGACAAAGTTGGTAAGTTGAGTGCTTCAGGGTTCTGTCCTAAGTCCACATCTCTTTAATCTGTTTATAAACAATCTTCACTTGTTCTTTAACAAGATTGTACAAAGAACAAGGGGTTACCCATTAAGACTTGAAAAGAAGAGATTTCACATAGGACACTGGTTCCCAACCCAGCCCTCAAGTACCTCCTAACAGTCCTGGATTTAGGAATTACCCAGAAAAAAAAAAACACACTTTAGTCACAATAGGGTAAACCTTAAATCCTGGACTGGTAGGTGGTACTTGAGGACTGGGTTGGGAACCCCTGACCTAGGACATAGATAAGGGTTCTTTACAAAAGAAGTATGTGAAATACGCCTAAAAAGATTGTTTAATCAGATTCTGTAGAAGTATTTAAATAAAGTTGGGATGATATGTATATAATTTTTGGGAGTGTGTAACATTTTAAGATATAATAGTTTATCAGCTAACAGCTCATTGATCCAATGAGAAATCTTACTGCCATTTTGGAGTTAAAGGGACAATATAGTCACCAAAACAACTTTAGCTTAATTAAGTGGTTTTCATTTATAGATCATGCCCCTGCAGAACCACTGCTCAATTTTATGCCATTTAGGAGTTAAATTACTTTGTTTATGCAGCCCTAGTCACACTTACCTGCATGTGTCGTACACATATGTGCCTGCCTAAACACTTCCTGTAAAGAGTCATCTAAGGTTTGCACTTCCTTTCTTGGAATTTAGTTTTTCACCAGATGTGTGAACGGCTGAATTCAATTTACTTTTTTCTTTTGATTTTGACACCTGCCATCTGACGCCATCTAGTGGATACCAGAGAAATAACAGGTTTTTGCTATTATAGTTCCGTTAAAATGGGAAATTTTGCCCTCAGCTTATTTTTTCTGTATGACTACTGGTTGTTTTACATCAGTTATTACTTTCTGATCCTGTTTTGTGTTAGATATTAACCAATATGGTGTGGAGACTGCATCTTTAAGTTATGGCATGATAAATTGTGCAGGATGTCAATAAATAGCCCGGTTTCTTACTAAAACTGTAGTGATATCCTGACGGTTATCACAGGACTAGAAACGATTATGAGGTTATTAACCTAAATAGCAGATAATACAAAGAATAAGGGTGCAATCTGTGACATGCAGGGGTGTATTTTGGATCTGTGCTCCCCTAGGCATGATGGAACTCGGGCACCCCCTAATTTACATTTGCCCCACCCCTTCCTGTCAATGCCACACCTCTTCCTGTTAAAGACTAACACACACTTTGACTGACATACACACAATCTGACAGACACACACAATCATTGACATACACACAATGACGCAGACACACACATTCACAGACACACACATTGACAGGCATACACAATCACTCAGACACACACACATTCAATGACAGACACACTCACTCACAGACACATACTGACAGACACACACAATCACTCAGATACACAGGCTCACTCACAGACACACACACTCACAGACACACAGGCGCCCTCACAGACACACAATCACTCAGACACACAGGCTCCCTTACAGACACACAGTGACAGACATACTCTCACTCACAGCCACAAACACTCACTCACAGACACACACAGACAGACATACACTCACTCAGACACACACTGACAGACATACAGACCCACTGACAGATATACAGACACAATGACAGACATACACACACTGACAGCCAGACACATGCATACACACACACACACACACACACTGACAGCCAGTGAGACATAGACACACACACACACACACACACAGCCAGCCAGACACAGACACACACACACACACTGTCAGCCAGCCAGACACAGACATACACACACACTGCCAGCCAGCCAGCCAGACACACACTCACAGATTATTTTTTTATTTTAATTTAAATACACCCAGCCTCCCTACCCTTGGGATAGCTGGGTGGATTTTTTTATCTGGGGTCCAGTGGGGTCAGGCTGCTTGGGCAGGGAGAGAGGCAGGCGTGCAGGCTGTTGGGCGTAGAGTGATGCCGGGAGCTGGAATATGACATCAAGGTATTTGCCTGGGCATTTGGGGGCGGCGTTTTTTGCCGCCCCCTGGAAAGTGCCACACAAGGCAAATACGTCACTGGTGACGTGCTATACTGGAATTCACATATTTCCTAAAGCCCCATCTAAGGATTAACCAGGAATGTACCAATTGTTTGAGAGACCAGTCTGCAACTGCTGGAAAATTAGCAGCAAAATCATGTATGTACGTAGTGGGCATTGGATAGCCTTCCCTTCATCCCCCATAAAACCATAACTTACCCCTTCAAATAACGACAGACAACTTCTTGGAGAAAACAGGCGACAGCATTTATTAACACAACCAAATACTGTATAACTCCTTAAACATATAACGAAATAATAAATATCATAAATTAACATAAACAATTTGCATATAGTCATACAGTAACCAAAGAAACCGTCCTTGCCAATCTAACTTCCCCAAGGCTCTCACCTCCCCCCTCGGCATAATAAAAACATCTTCCTTTTCAGGGCTCCCCACCAACTCGGTGGGGCCCAACCATAATGCTCCCCACTGGTCGACTTACAACCCAGTGGAGACACGTCCAACCTGGTACCTCCTCCAGGTTCACCATAAGAGACAGGGGGAGTATGAGACCCGGCCATTATCCCCCTTTTTCATCTACTCTACCAAACCATCCCTTATTTGGCAAGGACACACCCCCGCCTTACTGTGACAACCCCCCAGGCCCAAAGCAGCAAAGGGAGGGTGGGTGGGAAACTTGTTGCTGGCCCGGCTCCTAAGTGACACTGAGGTCAGTCTGATCTGTCACCACCCACTTCCTCACATCTCACACTCCCACATGTAGCATATAGCCAATCATGCATCATCCATCCCACACTCATACATGTGCCCCTGTCCGCTAAGCTGCACACTCTCCCTGGGGCCTACACCAAAATTCCTTGATTCTGAAAAAAAAGAGGAAACAAGTTGGCAAGATTTTTCACTACCTGGATTGATTTTATATACATATATTTTTTTAACATCAGAGCTAGATATGATTATCTCCATCTTTCACTATTAACTTTTATTTTTATACCATGTTCATCATTTGTTAATTTCAATCTTTATTCATTTCTACCTTCACTTTATTATATTAATATTCAATTTCTATCTCTAACACTACTTATCACTCACACATGCACCCAGACAGACAAACACAAACAAAAAAATATTCCTCTCCTTTCTCCTTTTCTTTTGTTGTTCCCCTACCACATTTTACTTTCCCTTTCCTAGTCCTTTTCTACCTGTTCCGTTTCCTATCCCTTGTTCCATGCGGTGTGGAATAAAGACTGCATATATTCTTTATCTCTTTGTCTTTTCCATTTTCTGTACCGTCTTACTTCCTCCTTTCTCTATCCCTATATCCCCCTTTCTCTTTTCTTTCTTATTTTTCCTCTTTCTCTTCATTGCCCTCTTAGAAATGTTAAAGGATCACTATAGTGTCAGGAAAACAAAGCGGGTTTCCTGACACTATAGTGCCCTGAGGGTGCCCACACCCTCAGGGTCCCCCTCCTTTGGCGCTGAAGGGATTAAAACCCCTTCAGCAGCTTACCTTATTCAAGTGCTGGGTTTCCTCGGCTCTGGTGACCTCTCCTCCCCATCTGACATCAGCTCCCTAGTGGAGCGGAATGCTCTGAGGGAAGTCAGAACAGCCTCAACCTCCATCCCTCAAGCTGGTAAAACTACAGGCCCAGGACAAACAGGAGCAGGAGGACAGGAAGCTGTTTACTGGCCCGAATCCCAAGTGGCACTGAGGTAAGATCACCCCCCACTAAACTCACACACCACATAATCCCACCCACACATACATACACAACCAATCACACAAATCTATCCCCACACTCATACATGTGCCCTTGTCCGCTTAGCTGCGCTATCTCCCCAGGACCTGAACAATGGTTAGTTACTGTTACGATGTCAGCCCTATGTTGTCCCTTGTTTGGCCAAAGGTGCCAGGGATCTTAACCATGTTCTCCTACTGCTTTATGCAGGGCCGGTGCAAGGATTTCCTCCGCCCCAGTCAAAGATCCATTTTGCCGCCCCCCTCATGTCACTCACAGAGGAGGAGTATGTTGAATGTATTGCTTATCTGTGCCTCTGCCCTTCCCCTTTTTCCTGTCCTATTGTTTCTCCAGCAGGGCGTTGTCCCAGAGACACTGCCAGACCAGTTAAAACTGGCTGCTTTGTCCCTCCTCAATCTCCCATCAGCCCTTGCTGTAGTCTGACTTCACCCTTCCTTGTACTATAGTAATCTATGTAACCTATTGTATGTAAATGAGGCTGTTGTGGGTTTAAAATGTGTGTATAAATTGCTGGCTTCTATTAAACAGACCTGCTCCCTTCATGAAGTCTTGGCTCATGTTTGGGGGATGGGATAACTACACTCTTAGGGATTGCTATAATCACAATACTCCCCTGGGTATAAGCTCTTGTAAGAGCTTGATCCTGCTACGCTCTCTGGAGTAGGAGATGTCTGCCCACTGGAAGCTGGATCCTGGTCTTAGGTCCAGGGTGGGTGAAGGATGGCAAGACCCCGGCGCCGCTAAATCGCTGGAGGTGGGGTCTGTAGTGCTTATGGTGTCTGGTGGAGTGCTTGGAGTCCTCGGCAATCACTAGGAGCATCGATTGGCGGAGGTACTTGGTCGGAGTGCCTGGCAGTCCGTCACAATACATAGTACAGTCTGCTGAATACATACACACACAGACTGCTGAATACACACATAGTCTGCTGAATACACACACACATACACACATACTGCATTGAGGGGTGCAGTGCCTGTGTTTGTGTGTGTGAGAGGTGCAGTGTGTTTGTGTGTGTGGGGTGCTGTTTGTGAGGAGGGGTGCTGTGTGTGTGGGGGGGTGCTGTGTGTGTCTGAGTGGTACTGTGTTTGTGTGTGTGTGTGAGGTGCTGTGTGTGTGTGTGAGGTGTGCTGCATGTGTGTGTGGGGGTGGGGTAGGGTGCTGTGTGTGAGGGTAGGTTGCTGTGTGGGGGTGGGTTGCTGGGTGATGGGGGTGCTGCGTGTGGGGGTGGGGGTGCTGTGTGGGGCAGGGTGCTGTGTATGGGGGTGCTGTGTGGGGGTAGGGGTACTGTGTGTGGGGGTACGGGTGCTGTGTGGGGGGGTGGGAAGATACATTAAAGAAAAAAAAATGGTACATTAAATCTGTATACCCCCTCCCCTCTTCTTACCTTTGGTGAAGGGGGGGGGGACACAGCCATCCCTGGTGGTCCGGTGGTGGTAAGTATGTGTCTGGGAAGCAGCTCTCCTGTCCTCCCGCGCTATGCTATGCAGGGACGTATTAGCCGCGAGGCAAACAAGGCATTTGCCTTGAGTGGCATTTTCCAGGGGGCGGCAAAAAAAGCCACCCTCAAATGCCCAGGGCAAATATCTGCCATATCTGCCAGTCCAGGCAGGTGGGCGTTCGGGCGGACGGGCGGCGCTGGTGAGGGAGCACTTCCCCTGAGCTGTCTGCTCAGCTCCCTCACGCGCCGCAGAGTGATGCTGGGAGCCGGAATATGACGTCATATTCCGGCTCCTGGCTGCACTCTGTGGCGCGCGAGGGAGCTGAGCAGACAGCTCAGGGGAAAGTGCTCCCTCGCCAGCGCCGCCCACCCGCCCAGCAGCCCCACTAGACCCCAGGGAGAGGGAAACCCCCCCCCCCAGTATTCCCAAAGGAAGTAAAAAAAAAAGTGAGTGTGTTAATGAGAGTGTGTGTGTGTGTGTCTGTTAGTGTGTGTCTGTTAGTGTGTGTGTGTGTCTGTTAGTGTGTATACGTGTGTGTGTGTCTGTTAGTGTGTGTCGGTGTGTGTCTGTTAGTGAGTGTGTGTTTGTTAGTGTGTGTGTGTCAGTTAGTGAGTGTGTATGTCTGTTAGCTAGTGTATGCGTATCTGTCAGTGAATGAGTGTGTGTGTGTGTATTTAGAAGGCGGGGCGGGGGGAATGGTTGGGTGGGGGTGGTGCGGGGGACGTCTGAGTTTTGTCCTGCCTAGGGCAGCACAAACCAGGATACACCACTGATGCTATGTGGAGCGTTGCCCTGCTTCCTAGATCCTTCCCCCTGCTTCCGTGTCCTCCCTGCTGTTTTGAGTAGGCAGGTGCCTACTATGCATTGTTGCAGACAGACAGCATGTCCCCTCCCCCGGCGATCTATGGCCGCGTGCCCACAGAGAGGGCCCGGCGTGCCATCTGTGACACACGTGTCATAGGTTCACCATCACTGCTCTATATAATACTGTATTACTAATGTTTGTCTGTGATCTCTGCTGGTCCTGGTTTCCCTCCTTGTCACTAACCTCGTGCGGATCGCGGCGTTTTACAGCGATTGCGCTTTTCTCTATTGCCGGTTCTGGGACTTTAGCCAAAGGTACTGGGGACGTTTTGCCATACCGGAAGGCATTTGCGCGCGAATGGCGGCCATCTCGAATCTCGCGGTACTGCTGTAAAAACTAGTGTCCAGCCATCCTAATCCCACTAGAATTTCCATCTACGAGGATATAATCCCTCTCCATAAGGATACATTATACAGGATCCCGTTGTGGATACACATATTTGAATATATAACAGGAGTGACCCCCCTACACTGGGTGACCCTCAAGCAAGTCTGACACCTGTCCTAAGTGACATACTTATACAAGGGTGACCCCCCTACGCTGGGTGACCACCAAGCAAGTCTAGCACCTTTCCTAAGGGACATACATATACAGGGGTGACCCACCTACGCTGGATGACCCCTAAGCGAGTCTTATTCCGGTGCTAGTGGCATACATACATAGGGGTAACCCCCCTTTCCGACAGGCTGACCCCCCTGCGCCCTTTCAAGGGCTTCTTCCCACAGAGTACGGTTTGTCACTGTATGCACAGACCAAGGCACACTAGATGCATTTATTTCGGCACCTCCATGCTACAACTGGGGTGATCCGTACACCCCTTCCCTGAGCCGGGAAGGAGAGCTCACAGTGCTGCCAAAACTCCACAGTACTATACCATATAAGGGTGACCCCATTGGTTTATACATATTAAGGCTACCACGCCTCCCATACACGGGCTACATCCCGGCATGGCAGACTGCTCATCCCGGTCTTATCGAGGGTTACCCCCCCTTTTCAGACCACTCCTCGAATTTTACTAAGTGGTACTGATTGACGGAAATTCTAGGTGACCCCAGTTGTACGTGGAGGCCCACTGAGTCGGACTCCCCTCAATCTCCCCCGACCGATTTTCAGTCGAGGATTAATGCTGCCGTGGCAGCTTTGGTGGAAAAAGCCATCACCAAAATGCTGGCAAACAACCCATCTGACATGGCAGGTGCGACGGCCCTACCACCAATGGAAGCTAGAGATACTGACAACGTTAGGTTGGACACCTTATCATCTAAACATCATTGGAAGGGCTCCACCGCTGCTTCCCTGAAGGGGAAAGGGAAGGCCCCCCTTAAGCGAAGCCATCACTCAGAACTTCCTGACCATTCACCATCTATCATCAGGGGACGGGGACTCCATCCCTCCCCCTTCTCTGGACATCATGGAAGAATGGAGAGCAGACGAGTCTCTATCTGAAGAGGAAGAGTGGCAGGACCTGCCCCAAGAGGAGGAGAGCTACACTCAGGGCAGGGAACATGCGGGGCGCCCTAGCAAGAATGGCCTTCGAGAGGTGAATAACGATTCGTGTGAGGTAATTGTCTTCGTTGACACACTGGGAACTCTCATTTCGACCTACGCACCATCCAAAATCCTAGGTCATTCGAATGGGGTTTACCGGATCACCTGGCACTCTTTGTCCACTTCTGGCTCAGGAGCCCTATGGAAAAGGAAGTCTGAGCCAAGTCCACACCCTCTGTTACCGCACAAGATAGCCCTCACCCCGGAGTTTGATACCACGGTGGTGGTATTTATGTCCCGATCAGGCCGGGATCCATGAACTGGCGTAGAAAAAAGCCTTAAAACGGTTCAGGATAAAATGCTGGACATGATCTGTTCCCTGGCATAAATTCATATATTTTGTGGACCTGGCTCTTACCCAAGACTCACCTCTAGAAGCTCATGATGTGAGGGAGTGGGTGCAAAGGACAATATGAATGCTGGGGAATGCAAATGCAGCCATGTGCTCGGAACGGCGCAAAGCAGCCATATTAAAGATAGATTCCAAACTATTGGAGTTAGGGAATGTAATGGCACCCTCAGCATCAAGTAGTCAAAACCGCCGTTTAGTGAATCCTCCCCACTCGCAATAATACAAACTCCATTTGTATAGACTCCAATCGTACGAACTGCAAACAGGGGAATGCGCTAACCTCCTGAACGGGACCTGTACGGATACTCCAACTCTCGAGCGATAAATCCACGAATCGCCGAATCAATATATCATCCAAGCGGCTTACGGTTCCAGCAATAAGTCGCTATTCGTGTGTAGTAAATCCCCCCAATAACGAGACCAAGCTCCGCATTGAGAGTAAAACAAGAACTGGGTTTACTGTCGGCTACCCGCCCGTATTTATGCAGGTCTTCCACTTGGTGCACACTCCCCTAGGGGACCAAATGGGAGACTGTAATGGCAGACATACATTTAGCATGTTAGGACACACAGACACATAATATTCCCAGCATGCATCATGGTTTCCTCCCCTCTGCCCTGGAGATAATTGAGAAGTAATTCAATTATCTCCCAGGACAGAGGTAAATCGCCATTTAAGATGAAACATAAAAACCACATAAAAATAAATAATTACATAACTACCGAATATATTCCATTTGTGCAATGTATCCCCAGATAGCCTGGATCTGAGTGCATATTCTTAGCGAATAGCGCTCAGATCCCATACGCACAGTTCAATCGCCATGGAGTCAAAGTCTTTTACAGTCTTTCGGTATGCGATTGACTCCATGGGAAGGCTATCTGGGTTAAGTCCATTCGTGTAGTCCAAACTCCCGAACGGCCGGTGTTCGCATGCCTTTGTCGACTGAGAAGGGCGGTCTGCGGTTTTAGCGGTGTTCGGCAGAAAAAGTGTCAGTTTTCAGTTCCATAGAATCTGTGCTGAACACCGCTGGTCTTTTGCATGGTTTAAAATGGCCGCCGACATACGAACAACGACCACCCTGTATT